TTGTAAAGCTCAGTCGTTCTTCTGGTCTGGGAAGGCTTGGCTGGTTTCAGCTGCAGCTCACGTACCAGCTGTGTTGGTGAAGTGGATGAGAAGACCCAAGACTCCAGGAGTCTCCAGTGCACCGGGAGCCCAGCCTACCCTGTTCTCATGGCAGCATCAGAGATCCAAAGTGAAGAAATGAAAATGTATTTCTGCCTATGTCACATCTGCTGCTCCAGGTTTAGTGTCCCGTATCTGAAATGCTGAAACTTTTGGAGTTGGGAACACATGCATATACATAGTGAGAGATCCTGGAGAAGGGACACGAGTTTCAATACATTTATTTTTCATATACACCTTATACACACACAACCTGAAGGTAACTTTATACACTATTTTAAATGATTTTGTGCACAATGTTTCTGTTAAGTATTTATGTGTAGAATTTTCCACTTAAGCTGCCATGTTGGCACTTAAAAAGTTTTGGATATTGGAGCATTTCAGATTTCAGATTTTTGGATCAAGGATGCTCAACCTTTGTCCCACTGGCCAAAGCAAATTACATGGTCAAGGTCAGACTCAGTGTAGAAAGGCAATCCCAAAGGACCCAGATACAGGAAGGCATAAAAATTGGGGCTGTTAGTGCAATCTATCTACCATATGAGCACAGCAGATAATTGCAGATAATTTTTTTAAATTTCAGGTTAATGTGAGGGTACAAGCAACTAAGTTACAATGTTTGCATTTGTTGGGTAGAATCCCTCTTGTCGTTGTGTCCCGCACCCACGAGGTGTGCCATGTCCTTACCACCCATGAGGTGTGCCATGTCCTTACATTGTGCCCATTATGTGGGAGCACTCCGCTCTCCTCCTCTCTTCACCCCTCCTCCCTTGTTAGGGCATTACTAGTACTAGTATAAAACAAGTTGAAAGTGTAGCAGATAAGAGTGGGCTTCTAACATTCTTCGATCAATGAATAAAGTTAGCTCAGGGCTGACGATAAGTCCAGGATAGCTGTTTGTGTAGCTAGGTAAGGGAGTGTAAGTGAATCCATGAAAGAGTGGTACACCCTGTACACTTGTGTGCTGTGTTGTAAGTACCACACCTCACCAGAAATAACCAAGTTTTTGTAAAAAGGTATGTATGACTTTTGAGAAAATTAAATACACACATTGCTTGAAAAGGGTAAACAAGAAGCATCTCGATGGGGCCATATGACATTTCCTCATTCATATTATATGATACCAAAGTTCAGAAGTGACTAATGTAACACAATTCTTTTCCCTCCTCATTTTGTTTGGTACATTTTGATTCACCCAAAGCTACTGGGCCATGGTGTGCGCGATGAGATATATAGTATTAAATTGGCCTCCACTGGAAAATTTTTCCAAATGTTATTGTGGTGGAGACCCCAGAACTTCCAGGATGAAGCAGCTTAGGGACAGTGTCTCATCCCAAATTTCTAAGAAAGTAAAACGAGGAAAGGGGAGGAGTGAATTTTCTCATTTATCAAGATAATTACAGACACCTATTTTTTTTTCTTCTAATGTTAAAGCAATGATCCTATTTTTAACCATCTCCCTGATCTCTCCTTTAACATTTTTTCATCATTCTAACCTGTGGAGCAGAATACTTTTCATGAAATGTTATTAAAGAAGATGGCTCATCAATACTCATTCCAGAGGCACCACCCCAGATTTATTATGACGTTGAAGAAGCAGTTATTAACTTGTGTGCTTGAGACTCTGTTACATGCCAAGCATCGGAGAAAAGTTGCAGGAAAGTGTGGTGTTCTGTTTGATTCATCCCGGCGATGATGAAGGAAAAACTATTTAGAGTTAGGAATGAGGTATTCCTAAAATAATCTCGACATTAACTAATCTAGGGATGCCCTCTTCACAGGGCACAATCTCTGAATGTTGACAGGTCTCCACTGTTACCTGCCACACTGTTTTTAAAAAAGTGCTAACCGTCAGAATTGAGAACAGTGCTTTTCTCATTTCAGCCTTTCATTCACATTTCCAAAGACACTGCCTCCCCGAGAGAGGCCACAAACACAGTGACAAATCCTTCATTTCACCTCACGGGCAAATCATTTAAATAGTCATTGATAGTTATTGATTACCTGTTCTTTGAAAAGCAAAGGAACAAAGCTTGAAAAGAAATTAATCTGGACTGGTGGGAAAAGTCCTGTGGGTAAATAGCTTCTGGAGAATAAATGGATAAATTAAGGAGGGCCAATCTGCCCGGGAGAACAAGAAGATTTTTTGGAAATGGCAATAAGGTTGCTGTTTAAAGATTGATAGCGAATCATTATGTAATGTAGCTAGGAAAGATGTGTGCTATGTGTGTGTTAATAGAGAATGGTGACCAATCCACATTGGCTAGGTGAGTGGGCAGTGTGGGGCCAGAAACTGAATCCTATTATCCTTTAGGTGGTAGATAGGATCCTATAGGTACATGCAGAATGGTAATACGATCAGAGCTGGCATTTGGGAAGGTTAATCCGTGTGTAAAAAGACTTGAATGACAAAGAAACTGAATGGGAGGAGGTTTAAAATTCTGGGTGTTAAGGAATGAGAGCAATGGTAAGGAAACAGAGGGAAGCTTTGAGGGTGGGCTAGAAGGCTGAGGTTTTCAGGGACAGATTGTGTGCAGGGGGGAAATGAGATGAAGCCGAGCAGCGTGGCCCCAAGGTTCAGCACTGGCGCTGGACGATTAAAATGAACGGGGTGGACAGATGGAGAAAGGGGCTCGAGTTTTTGTTAATTACATACAAGGTGCACATGTGCCATCAATTTAACTCTTGACAGTGAGAGGCAAAACCACAGCGTAGGGAAACAAAGGTCAGGGTTACAGATACAGATTTGAGAGTTATGTGCAGAAAGCAGAAATCAAAGGCATATGATCAAAGGAAACAGTGAAGGGAAGACATACAAAAATATTCTCTGATCAAAGATGGTGAAAGAGTTCTTTCCCGTTTTGAGTTACTTTTCCAGGAAGCTCATTGTTGAATTTGAAACCCGGACACAGAACTGTTTCTCAAGTCTGGGTTTTCTCACCAAATGAATCTCTGCTATGCAAACCTTTAAAATGTGCTTCTCTCCCTTTAAGAGCTGGGGTTGAGGTGCTTGTACGACACTTTTGGAATATATTTCATGGGTTCTAGGTTGCATGTACATTTCACATTTGAACATCTCTGAAATTGAGATGTATCTTAGTCACTGGGTAGTATGTCATATTTTCAGTTGGCAGTGTTTGCATTCTGTGAGATAGACAAAGTAATGGTGCATATTATAATCAATGGTGCCTTAGGTATGATAAAATATGGCATCTACCCATGGGTTTCCCTATCTTGGCAGCCTGGCCTCTTTTGCCGGAGGGCTTTATGTCCCCCAAAGGGGAGGAGGAGCCTACTTAGAGAAGAACTGTACGTATGGATAAGAATTCTAACCAGTCAAGAAGGGGCAATTGAGCTCCTTTTGGAGTCTGAAAGAAAGGGTACAGGGAGGAATTGAAACTCAGGTGCCCTAACTCTCCAATTGAAACAAAAATTCTGAGGGTGGGCAAAGCAATGTAGGAGAAACCAAGAGAGACTTGGAGCCCAGGATAAAGCATGCTCACTTCTTGCTTCTTGGGGCAAAGATCTAGGAAATTTAGAAAATTTCCAGCATCCTGGATTTATTATTAGTGGCCTATACAGTATTGGAACAACAGGGTGCTAACAGCTGACAAGTGCTCAAAGGAGGTACTTTGATGGATGGGCCTGAGCTAGTGCCTCTGTTCCCTCCTAGTCTGAAGCGATACAGTTGTGCATGTCACAGAAGATGCTGGAATAAACTGCGTCCAGGTTGAAGACTTGGCTGAGCAGGAACCTGAAACCACTGGGTCAGAAGGGCCTACCTTGTTTAAGGTCACCAGACATCCTGCTTTTTAACAATTTGACCCGTGTCCCATGGCATTTTAAAAAAGTCCCAATTTTAGGAAAGACTGTGTGACAAGCTAGGGAATGGAGGGACAACCGGAAGGGAATAAATGGTTTTCGGCTGCTGAAAAGGTTAATGTAACTCCATTTGGGAATGAAGAGGTTAACATAACTTCATTTGGAAATGAAAAGGCTAATGTAAATTCCCCACTCCCCTCCTGGGCAAGGTCACCCAGTGGACCAGCCCTATTCCTTTGAGCCACAGGCTCCGCCCTATACATAATTTTTTTTAATGTATTGTATATGTAAATTGTACTTATGTTGAAATTAAAAAAATATATATTACAATACTATCTTTGCGTTCTATGAAAATTTTTGTTGCTCCATATAGACCGAATTTTTAATTAAGAACACCTCTCCCACCCATCCCCCACCCCGGTCAATGGTGTCCCGCTTTACCAACATTAAAATCTGGTCATCTTAACCTTGTTGCTGCAGCAGAGGGCAGGCAGGACCCACCCAGCAGCAGGGAGACCAGATGCTCCTCCCAGCCGCCAAGTGGACACAGGACTCCCTTCCCATGTAGATGCCATCTGGGGAAAGAAGCAGGGAGGTTTCCTGAGTGGAGAGGAACCTCGGACAGGGAATTCGACTCATGTCCCTGAAACTAACTTTTTTTGTAAGCTGGAAGACAGTGAGTTACTTTAACTGACAATGAGCTTAATTTTTCTTCATAGCAAGTGAGAATGCAGGCGTTGAATGTAATTTGACCTTGTAGTATCAGGTAAGATAGATCTTTTTTTTTTAGTCCTGCTACAACAGATCCATTGGATGATAATGTCGCAAATACTAAAAGTAATCTTTGTTAAAAAAGAGATCAACTCCGGCAAATACAACTATTTGGGGTAGCCAAGAGAGGACATGATCAGAAAAATGAGAAAACTATTTCCTATTTCCCGATGGGAAACCTTTGAGTACCTCTCAGAAGCAGAGGCAAAAGAAGGCAAGTGATGGACTCAGCCGAGTGTTTAGAAAGGTGAACCGAGCAGAGCTCGTGAAGAAGCATCGGATTTGATGAAGAGAAGTCATTCAGCGTCTTTGAAAACTGGCGATCCGAGTGTGGTGATATTTTATTAACTATAATTTGTCTTGAGATGTTAATGCTGAAACATATGTAGTCTAATCCCATCTTTTACAGATAAGGGAACTAGGAAGCAAAGAGATGTCACAGAATCCATGTCAGATCATAAACATGAGTAAGAGGAAAAACAAGTACGTTATACCTGGAAATCAACGAGACTCGGCATGTTTTCTGTCCCTTGGGGGAAAAATATTTTGGGGGCTTGAAAAAGCCTCCTTTCCTTTGGAAATAATGATAGGATCATTTATGTGAAAAATAGGCCAAATGTTTATTAGAAAGCATCTTGGGAGAAGACACTCTGACAAACGTTACGTGTGTTTTAATTTTTTATTAGAGAAGTTGGAAGTTTAATTTCAATATTGATGGTATCATAATTTTCTCTGGTTTGTTCAGAGGAACGTACAGAATCAATTTGTACAAGCATATACACAAGTCAGTTGGTGCTGTGTCCTAAAATCAGTAATCTGATTAGTTCTAGACTACCGGGTTTCCGCGGTCCTCTCGGCTTTGGTGGCGTGGCTCAGTTCCCTGCGGAATACTTTTTCATGCACTGTCTGCGACACAACTACAGCAGGCTTAAAGACCATGCAGATTAACACTGTAGCAAATTGTTTTGATATTTAACAGACATAAAAAGGTCATTTCCTGATATGAAATTCTGAAAATCTGCATATATATTTTTGTGTAAAATTAAATTAGTTATGTATTTCTTTTTCAAACTAGAACTTGAAGTATCAAGAATGCCCACATAATTCGTATACACATATATATAGAGAGACTTTTTCATTATGCTAAAAGTCTTGATAGTCAAATTATAGTCTGTGCCATATGTTTATGTAACCAGTATTTATTTGGCCTTAGGTTAACTGTGTCTGTGTGGATTAGCCTTAATTGGTGCTTGTGTAACATGCAAACATAGTTCTAGTATTCCTGTTTACTAATCTTGTCACGTGGCAATACTTAGATTGATTTTGCTTTGTGACAATGTGCATTAAGGAGTATAAATACTTTATACATGGTCACATTTACAGACATTTGCCAGTAACCACTTCACAACCTTTATGGTGTTAATAGTGAATTGTATTATCTGGAATCTGCAGAAGTCATTCCTAGAAAGCAATGTCAGGTTTAGACTTTCTTAAACGTGCCTAACAGAGTCCCCCCCTGGATATTAATAAGTTTTGGCACAGGCACACTGCTCTATTTTTCTATTGTTCTAAATTTCCACAACGTTTAAAGAAAATTAGCTTCTTATGGCATGGTCGAGACATGGCACTTACTGATGAGGTAACTGAGATATAGAAAGATTTGCAGACCACCACTCCGGCTAATTAATGTGTAGACAGAGTTTTTTTCCTAGTGCATGCTCTTGCTGTGAAATTGCTAATGCACCGTTTTGTTTTGTTTTGCTGTAGCTCAAACATGTCCCAATGCATCACAAAGCTAAGCTGTCAACACCAAGCTCATTTACTTGTGATGGTATTTTATATAAAACATGTTTAAGTTATGTTATCAATGATTAAACTCTGCCCAACTGGAATAGTCAATTTTTGTGGATCTGTAGCTACTTTTGTTTGGCCAGGGAACTTTAATCCTCCAACTGTTAAAGACAGAAGCGTGTAAGTCATTCCAAGTCTCTGTGGCTTCAGGTGTCATCTTGTGTACACGTAAAGGAAACGCAAAAGGAAAGAGCTTTTGTCCATGGTGTTTGTGTTCAGAAGTTTGGAGTGATCTTTTGACGCTTTGTGGTTTTGCTGCTTCAGTTTGCATTTTGGAGTTTCATACTACTGTTGCTGGTCTGCGGTCCATCTCGGCTTCCAATTTCACCATCTGCTGCATCTCCTTCGCCTATAACATCAGAAACATGGCCTTACATGTTGAAATCCTTTCCTCAAGGCAATTAATTAACCTTGCCTCTCTTCTCCAGTAAATAGATGCTGCCCCTACATCCTTGCTTCTCAAAGTTTGGTCCGTGGACCAGAAGCATCATCAGTGCCTGGGACCTTCTTAGAAATGCAGAATCCTGGAGTCTGCTCTAGACCTACTGAATGAGAATCTGCATTTTAACAAGATGCTTGGGAAATTTTTATGCATGTTGAACTTTGAGAAGGACTGGTGGACACAGTGCCAGGAAAATCCCGTGGGAAGAGGTGCAGCCAATCACCTGATACTGAGACTCTAACACATCCAGTTGTTCAATGTAGTTTCTGTAGGTTGACACAGCGCTTTAACTGTGTGTAGAACATAATTTTATCACTTTTAGAACATGGGTTGCTTATGTACAACTTATTCCCCCAGTAGTCTGAAATGTAATTAAAGGTAATTCCCACAGAACTAATTGATGGAAAAGTTCAAGGGGAGAGCATATTATATTTGGCTGGAGGATCTTATAAATGCAATGTTACAGGAATACGTAGGGTTCTAGGACTCTTTCCGTCCAAACACTCTAGGCTCTTACTTCTCTTGGATAATTATTTTTTTTACAGACTACCAGGAAGTAAGCGCTGGTGAACTCAACCTCATGAATTAAGACTGTCACTAAGATAACCAGCCTACTGGAGAGGACGGAAGGGGTCCGATGAGGGCAGGTCTGGTGATAAATAATTGCTTGGCAAAATTAGGGAAAAACCATACAGTTCTTTTCAACTTTTACTTCCTAACTGATAGCCTGGGTGCTTTTGCCCAACCCAATGTGTTTATCTTTAGAGCAATGAGGAACCACCTCCCCCCCTTTTTTAGTGACATACCATTTTGAAATATAAGGCGTTTAAGAGCGGTGACAGGCGTCTATGAACATATAAATCAGAAGAAGATTCTGAAGTGCTCTGATGTCACTATGTATGTCTACTCAGGTATTCCAGCTAATTGGAAGGCCAGTGGGAAAGTTTGGTTAACTCTACAGATCATACTCAATTCATTTAAATCCCTCAAATGAAGTCCTATTACAAAATTGGTTTAACCCACAGACCATACTGTGATGTATTCTGTATTTAGGCTTTAAATTTCATTTTGGTGAGGAAAGACAAAATGATACCCCGAAACATATCTTTCTGTATAAATTTGGGATGTATGGTTCCCACATATTTTTTATGCCTGAGGTCTAGCATTACTCTAATAAAGAAATGAAGAAATGGAGAAAAATATACAAACATGAAACTATGACACAAACAGTATTCATAAGGATGACAGTGAAACATTATCAGCATTGGAAATTCAATACTTCCATGTTCAGTAAATTACAATACAAGGTGATCTATGCCTCTCCCCCTTCAGCATTTTAAGGACAATATTGAACACAATTTAGAAGGAAGAATCATATGACATTAAAGGACTTTTCCAAAACTAAGTTCTTATATGAGTAGGGTGACCATACATTTTCATTTTCCAGAGATAATGCCAGTTTATACTTGTAGTCTTGAATAATGTGAATAATATGAATAGTGCCTTTCCCTCTCAAAACTATCCATAAGTTATATGGTCACCTTATTTATTAAGGACAATTAGGGTCCTTGGCAGACCGGACTCAGCAGAAAGCATGATAAGAGTCTTTGTATAATGTTTCCGTATGCAGATCATAACTTTCTATCAATTAAAACCAGCCACAAACTTTGTGTCGGTGCTTTGAAAATTAGCTAGAGTCATATTAACATTTGTAAATGATCCGACTCTGTGACCCAGTATTAGGTGGGGTCAGTCCACATAGCAACTCTATATATCACTATTCTCGATGTTTGAGTATGTCCTCGTTACCATGACCACTGTTTCCCAGATCTGCAATAGGAAATGTTCGATAAGACATAATCAGAAATAATTCTCTAAAGATTTTGGGCACTTAGGTCTAAATAGTATATCAGAAATCCAAGCATGAAATAGTCAAGGTTTTAAATCCAAACCCTTGAGATAGTAATCGGTTATGAGCAGATGTGAACCATAATCGGTACCAAGAACACTAACATAGTTGAGAATCAAAGCAATGTCTTGCTCATCAGAGTTCAGTCCTACCTTGCGTTTGGGACACTGCATGACAGGATTTCAAAAGCTGTTTGTACAAAAATAGTAATGTCAAAAGTGAGTCATACATACAAAACAAAGAAAATAAATGAATATTGAAGTGAATTTGAGAAATGAATGTAAAACCATATACAGAAAGCAAAAAGCCAAGAATAAACACATACACACCCACCAGTGACAAACTTTCCCCTAGCTGATCTCAACAGAAAGAAAAAAAGAAAGAAAGAACAAAGCAAATGATCGATGCCTGTTAGCCCAGAGTACGCCTCTCTTCTGTGGCAGTGAGTGGAGAACCTGACCTTTAAGCAAAACCTCTCACCTCTCTTTATTAAATGATAAGATTGATGATAAAACTCAATTTTTAAGACTTGAGCGTGACAGTAATGGATTCATTAACATTTGAAATGGTACATGCCAAGACAGATGAGATACTGCGTCTCTGGGAGGCCTATGGAAAACCTGAGTAGGAAAAACATCCCCGACCTTCAGCGTTTTAACTGAATAATTGGCTAACCAAACAGGCAAGGCTGTAAAGTGGCTTACAAAGGACACTGAAGTTAGGCTCCAGAACTAAGACAGACTGACACTTGAGTTGTTCCTGCCAGTGCCCTTGACACGGGTTGAGCTAATGAGCCATTCCGTGCCTTGCTTTGGAAGGGGGATTTAGAACAGTCTTGAGGAGCAGAGTCACAGAAAATCAGTTAAGAATCCTTTGAGAGAAATATTACGGGAGAATGTTCAACTTTATCTTTGGCTCAGAAACAGAAAAAGAAAAAAAGTCTTGGGATTTAACAATGGTTTGGAAGACTGTTTTAGAAGTCTGGAATTGGCTGGCAGCAGGGATACTGTTTTTGCTAATGAAATGTTAGCAATGTCTACAGTTCCAAACCTGGCCTTATTATGAAGGAATAAAGGACCAACTATGCCTTTTGCACTGTGCCTGCAACAGTGTTGTGCTTTACAGAATAACTGTGAATTGAGAGCTTTCTGGCCTTCCAATTCCAAAAAATATATATACTAGAAAGAGCTGGGCTTGAATTTACAGTTGGGTGGGGCCATGTACGTAAAGCAAAGCTTAACAAAGACATTTCAGTCCAAATTCTATGTTCGCTGGAAGCATCGTATATCTTGAATTTCTTTTCCTGAAATCTCATTAAATCTTTATCAAGTCTAAAGCTTTTTCATGTTCTGTGCTTCCCTAAGCTTCTGTGACTCAAACTATCAGTCGTGGGAGGTAGACATTAAAAGGCATTTTATGAATTTTTGGAACAAAAAACTAGCATCCTCCCAATATGATCCTAATCAATACAGCTGTCACTAATGCAGTATTATAACACAAGAATTCTGCGGTGGTTTGGATTAGCCGTATGCTAGGACACAAACTCAGAGTTTAAATTATGCACTTTGGCTGTGCAACTAGAACGGAGATAACTAAAGGTCTCTGGATACGCACCACTATTGTAGTGATGAGTAATTTTGAGCACATCTACATTCTTTAGTCGAACGTGTTGCTAAGCAACACAATAATTTCTCAGTAGTTTCTTAATTTAGTTAACTAACACATAATTGTACCTTACCTTTCATTATGCCCTTCTAAGGAGAATTTGAAAAAAACCTTCCCCAAGGCTTCCTTTTCCCCTGTTATCACCGAATCACTGAAGTGGATCCTAAACTTTGAAGACACTGCCCTTACCCTTATTCATATCCCCACTTGCCCCCATTCCAGAAACACTTTTAAGAGCAGAAACATAAGCTAGGTTAACTTATACTAGAACATGATATGTCTATGAGTTGGTCAAATGAATTGGGTCTATGGGACAATAAACATAGTATTGTCCCCCTTGGGGATCAGGGAACTTGTTCATGAATGGAAGCATTTAGCTGACAAAAAAATGTGAAACGTAACTCAGAAGTATGTTGATGCATAAAACTTCCGTCCACCAAAAAGAATCCCAAACCAGAAGTTGTATGTTACCCCATTGCAATACAAAAGAGATTTCATGGCTGTGTTTACTTTCTTTAAGGTACTTTCAGTATAATTCCTACTTAAGTATTCTTCAATGGGAATCATTTACTCTAAAAAAAACCACCTTAAATAAGATGGCATTATAGATGTGAGAAAATAGGATAGAACAATGTAGCACAAGTATATATTCCATCAGAACCTCTTTATAGTTTCTAAATAGAATTATCTAGACATAAGAACTTCTAAGCCAACTATAGCTCGTGAGTGAAATCTGAACTCAGAGAGACTACAATGTAAATGTTGATGGTGACCACACTGCTACAGAAACCAGAGGCATTTCCATCAGGGTGTACAATGTGGACGGCTGATGGGCTGTCCCCATTTGGGATGGAGCCCACTTGTCACCTGTCCTGCGCTCCAGGTACAAATACATTTATCTTGGTGCTGGTATACACCCGGTGGCCTAAGTACACAGTTGGCGTTTGCACAGATTTGTATTTGTATTTCTTTGTTTAGTGTTTTGGCCTGTTGGGAAGAAAAGCACCAAGAGTGTGGTATCCATTCCTAGTCAGTGGTCGGCAGAGTTAGGGAGGCTCTTGACCTTGGACCCCACTTAGAAATCCTAGGGAGGTTTTTAAACTTTTAAATGGAGGGTGGAAATAGGTAATTTCTCTCATTGGCTTTTAAACAAAAGCAGATTATAATGCTCTAAATAAAAATGGAGAAATAATTTATAACCTCTGCTTTTCATCCTCTCACTTTTAGCAACGTCGGAATCCCCCTAAAGTATTAAAATAATGACTTTGTATTCTTTTTTTGGCATAGCCACGTTCCTTTCCTGTTCCCCAAACAGTACGTTCTTTTCTTTTTGGATAAAATGGTGAAAATAAAGCAATGGGCAGCCAATCTTTCTGCCACCTTCCCATTACACGGCTCAGGCCGCTGGCTTTGGCAGAAGGGTCACAGTGGCTTGTGGCATGTGTGTTCCGAAGCTGGCTGGCTGCTTTTATTTTTGCATGTATTTTAGGTAAAATACCTGCTCATTCTGTTTCTCTAGAAATTCTAGGTGTTCAAGCTGGACTTTTTTCAACTGATCCATTTCTTTGGACTGCTTCATCGCGAGCTGCCAAAAAAAAAAAAAAAGAAAAGAACAAAAGAAATTCTGATAAACTTTGGGTTATAATCTTAAACCTTAGGGATGTGAGTTGACTTGTAAGTTTACAGTTTAAGTGTGGGAGATAATCATTTAAAAAAGAAGGGAAGAAAACTAATGTGAAAACCGGGAGAGTTTAAATTCATCATTCTTATTGTGAAGATCTTTCTTGCTAAAATCTTAGAAAATAATAGAGCAATTATGCATGATTAAAACTTGGCTTCATTTTCTGTATAAAACGATTCCAAATCATTACCTTAAAAGATTTCAGTAAGAGATTACTTTAGCTTTCAGGGAGCAGAGAAGAAAAGCTGGAATGTTTAATGTACAGAAAAATCAAATAAAGCAAATTAGCTAGAGGTCTGGTATGGAAGCATGAGTTACTGTTTACAGAGTTTTAAAGGAAGAATGCCAAGGAAATTATAAAATACTTACTCTCTTTCTTTCTTCCAGAAACTTTTTAGTATTGCTGCTGTTTAACTCCCTGACTCGCCTAAAAGTAATGGGTACAAATAATGGTTGGCATAACATTGAATGGAATTAATATTACATTAAATAAAAAAGAGTTATATTCTATTACATTATGTGGAGCTTATCTGTATGCAATTATTGCTTCTTTTTTACTAATTTTTATTGCAGTATTTTCAAACATAGAGAGAAAAATATATTAAAAAATCTTTGTATACATCACCCAGATCAACTAATCTTAATGTTTGCCATAGTTATCTCATATTTTTAAAGGCAATAAACTGTTACCGTGTTTCCCCGAAAATAAGACACTGTCTTATATTTATTTTTTCTCAAGAAGACATACTAGGGCTTATTTTCAGGGGATGTCTTATTTTTATTAAGTATAATACAACAATCTACATTTATTCGAATACAGTTAAGTCATCTTCTTCTGGAACCTGACGAGGGAGACGACCTTGTTGGTGGGGCTGGCACTTGTGATGCATGAACTCTTTTCCCCAGGCCATTTGCATGTGCGCAATAGGATGCCTGTGACCGTGGTTACCGCGTGCACTCATGCAAGTGTGAATGGCTGGGAGAAAGGAGCTGTGGCAGATAAAAGGTATTATAGTCTATCTTACCACTCTGCATAGAAAAGCAGGGTGTGGCTGTGCAGATATGCTAGGTCTTATTATCCGAGTAGGGCTTATATTTAAAAAATGCATAGAAATCCTGCTAGGGCTTATTTTTTTGGTAGGTCTTATTTTCAGGGAAATGTGATCCACATATAATTGAAGCCTCCTTTGTACTGTACCTAATTCCATTTCCCTCCTTCTGCTCTTCCAGAGGTAAGCACCATTCTGAATTTGGTAGGAGACTTCTCTTCCACATTTTAATATTTTTAACTAGATACAGATGTGTCCAGGTGTAACATAACTGTTGCTCAAACAATTCTGTGCATACAAGTCATCTGGAGATACTAACAAAACCACAGATTTCTGGGTCCAACCACCCCCCTCCCTGCTGAGAGTTTGACTCAGTGGGTCCAGGCTAGGAGATCTGTATTTCTAATAATCTGCTGCTGCTGGTATTTTTTTTTTTTTAATTTACCCAAATGGTAACATATTCTGGGTTTCTTTCTATAACTTATCAGTTCATCTTATGTTTTAGAGACACGTCTATGTATCAAACTATTTCATTATTTTCATCTGCTTTATGGATTCTTCCATGTATGAATAGACTATATTTCCTAGTTGGCATTAACAAAAAGCGGTTATTTCCCCCCAGATACTGCAATGCTGTGGTATATAGGGACCCTGCAATACTTGTCAGAGTGAGTGTCTGTTAACAAGTAGAGGAGTGAGTACAATTTAGTTCCTATCTCATTGTGCCTATGGGCAAAGGTTTCTCCAGGGTGTATACCTAGACTTGCCAGTTGGTAGGATGAACAGCTTCCCTTTTTTTTTGAGACACGGTCTTGCTCTGTCACCCAGGCTAGAGTACAGCAGCATCATCATAGCTCACAGCAACCTCAAACTGAGCTCATGGGAGCCTCCTGCCTCAGCTTCCTGAGTAGCTGAGGCTACAGGTGTGCACTACAAGGCCTGAATAATATATATTTCTTAATTTTTTTGTAGAGAAAGGTCTCATTATGTTGCTCAGGCTAGTCTTGAACTGGCCTCCAGGAATCATGCTACCTTGGCTTCCCAGTGAGTGGCCTCCTCTTCCCGCCAAAGCAGTAGTCCTAACTTGCACTTCCTCCTGCGGGGTCTGCGGGGGACCCTTCCTCCACGTTTTGCCCACTCTTAGAACTGCCAGACATTGACATTTCTGTCAGTTGTCGTTCTTGTTCTGTTGTTTTAACTTGCACTTCCCGCATTACTAGTGAGAGAAAGTGTTTTTAACCACTGAACAGCCCTATAACCAGCTGAACTATAATAGTTGTAAGTCTGTACAGGTTTTCTGTCTTTTCGGTCAGTTTTGGACTCTTATATTTTTTGTGGAAATTCTCCATTCTGAGTTCTCAAATACAAGAATACTTGTAGTTTGTAAAATGTTTGCCTCCGTAGTTATTTCCTTTTTTTCATTCCTAATATCTCTAATTTGTGTTTTCTCTTTTTTTTTCTGTTGATCAGTCTTGCTGGAAGGTAACTGATTTTATTATTCTTTTCTAATTACAAGTTTTTGTTTTCTATTGCTTTTTGCTCAATTTTAATATTCTCTGCTTTTTTAATTTACTAGTTCTTTCCATCTGAAAACTTTGGGTTCATTCTGTTTTCCTAATTTCTCTTTGTTGGAGTGTTTGGCTTATTCATTTTCATGTATTTAAAAAAATTATATATCTAACTTATACTCCAAATAGCATTTTAGTGACTTGTACACATTGAAAAGTCTGTGCTTACACTGTCATTCAGTTATAAATATGGGTAATTAATGTTCAAATGTCTTCTTTGATCCAAGCACGGAAGTCTTTCTTAGTGTTATAATAATTTTTTCATTTTAATTCTCAGTAGTTGGTAAAGTGGATACACTCACAAACACACACACAAAGGTTTATAAGGAAATTATAGCTATTTGGCATAAAGAAATCAGTTTTCTCTAAAAGCAGCTCTGGATAGATGTTTTGAAATCATCTACTATTAGATATAAAGTTGTAATAAATAAGCATATTGAGTCAGAATACATTTTAAAAACCTCATTTACTAGTTAGCAGTAACCCCCCAAATTGAACATTACATGACTTCAACCAACCCAAAGTCCACTTTGCAACACATTTGAAAAAAGGGATCAAAAGCTGTTTAATCATGGGTACATTCTTCACGCTGAATTCTATGCAGTAGAACCTCCCTAGTTCACCTCCTCCCTACACTGACCATCTCCTTTAAGTTGCCCTGATTTTCCCAGACCCGACAAGCACCACATCCGCATTTCAGTACAAGAGACAGACCTAGTTCCTTATGTTGACCGCCTCTGTGTGTGGTTGACCCATTTGTTACAAGCCCCTTGGGTGGCCAACTTTTAGAGTTCCTACTATGTTTTACCTTAGACAGTCTAAAAAAGGTCCAATTCATGAGACTTTTATTATGGCTGGAGTTTTTAATGTTTTGGGACAGAAGAAGAAAGTATTATCCCTAAGTACAGAAGAGTCTTACCTGGGAACAACATTAAGAACATCGCTTTTTAAAAATAAACAAGCAGCAGAGACATCCATGATGGTGAAAATAGACACTAATTGAAATCAGTAATAATCTCCCTAGAGGCGTCTTCTCCTGAGCCACAAGTAACACTCCATGCTGACTGGGAAATGCGCTGCTGACGCGATGTGTTGAAAGGCAACTCCTTTCCAGGTCAAAATTCCTGTGGAATCCCACACCCCATTGGGGTGTTCGGTCTTTTGAAACAGGAGCTACTGATTAAATTTTATTTAATTCAAGAAAATGTCAGCACAAAAAAATCTGCTGGATGATGTAATATTTTATATTTTATCCTATTTCAGTGTTAACATTACTTATTGTTAAATAGTTGAAATTTATTTAAAAAGTCAACTACACTGAGGTAGGAGACAGCCTTCTGCCATGTTAACAAGAAGAAGGAAGAAGCATAAAGTAACCAGTCAGAACCCACAAAGGGCCAGGGAGCAGGGCAGTTCACACTGGGTAGCTGACTTCACAGTATAAGGGCTCTACCAGCTCAGATGGTGGTTAACAGAGAACTCAGTGACCTAAGGTCTGAACTTTATATTTTAAACCCAAGAGCTAATCTAAACTTTGTTCTGTATTTGATGGACCGTAAAACACAGTGTTTTCCTCGGGTATCTTCTAGCTAGCTATGATGTGTGGTCTTCCCAAAGAAGGAACCCTGCTGCCTTTGAACTACTGGCACGTCAGCCCAGCCTCTGGGTTATGGAGCTGGAGGCATCTGGATGCTCAGAGGCTTCTCCAGGTGCATGATGGGTGCGGGTGATCCCTGGGAATCAGAGGCTGTCACCTTCTCTTGGGTAAAATGATTATGGATGCCCCTTCCAATCCCCTTTACCAGCTATAGCTAAAGAGTCTGTACCTGGCACCTTCTCTGGAGGACAGACAAACCTTTCCTCTCGCCCCCAAACACAGGTAGCTAATGACTGACTAGTACAAAAACCACCAAAGCCGGAAACCCTTGGCTCAAAGAAGGACAAACCCGTGGATTATACCCCAGAGTTTGGGATCAGGCTACAAGGACTCTAGGTGAGGCCACATCCCTGCTCAGGCCCTGCCCTGGCCCCTCCAGCTTCCCCCACCTGCCTTCTCTGAAGATCCCTTTCTCAATAAATCACAAGACCTGTCTTGGTCTGTGTTTCCAGAAAACCCACAGAACACAAAGACAGGCCAGATGAACCAAGTGGACGCTCTTAAGATGATCCCTGGTATCAAGGACTCCTGGAGGCAAGTCAAGGAAAGAAGACTGCCCTCCTAAATGCTGGTGCTGCTCAGACTGCCCATCCAGATGGACTACACCTGAGCAGGTCAGAGGCCTCCAGGGTGACCGGTAGAACATGGCAAGGATGTTTCAGATCTATTCTATTCTATTCTATTCTGTTCTATTCTATTCTATTTTAAAACAGAGTCTCACTATGTCGCCCTCAGTAGAGTGCTGTGGCTTCACAGCTCACAGAAACCTCAAACTCTTGGGCTTAAGTGATTCTCCTGCCTCAGCCTCCCAAGCAGCTGGGACTACTTGCCACAACACCCAGCTATTTTTCTGTTGCAGTTGTCATTGCTTATCTGGGCTGGGCTGGGTTGGAACCTACCAACCATTCATTATTATTTCATCTTTTATACAATTTTATTTGTAAATGAGCACACATGTATTGAACTTAATAATTTTACTGGCAGTAGTAAACAATCAGACAACTTTGGTACTATCCTATAGCAATAATAATAAATCTTCAGAGTAGTTAAAATAGCAGAATTCTTAGTCAAACTCACAAGTGTTTTTACATCTCAGATGGGGGTGTGTGTGTGTGTACACACCTGAAACTGTGGACACTGTGTCTTCACATCAACACCACATTCCTGCAGTGAGCACTACAGACTTACCTCTCCCGTTCTGCTTTGTTCTTGATAGATTTATCTTGGCTGATGGCTTTGCTGTTTTCCATAGAAATCTTTGCCTGGTGTGCTCGCATTTCCTTGCTTTCCCTATTAAACACACAGAGAGAGGGAGGATGGAGAATGAGTGTTTAACAGAGATTCACTCGGCGGAGATAAAGTTCTAACCAGGGACGGTGGTGATGGATACACAACAAAAGCAAATCCCATGTGTAACCACAGGACTAGGCTCGCATTATTATGATTGTTATTGAGCTCATCAAGTTAGTCTGTATTTTGAAAAATGAGAGGCGCCTCCAGCCAGGAGGGTGCTGATCCCTGAGGGGCAGTGAGCCACCTAGCAGTGCAGCAGCGGTGACGGCCTACGAAGAAGAGACATTCTCTTTCCTCATAAATATGAGGGTTTCCAACTTGGCCGTATGTTGTTTGGGACCAGATGGGCTGGAAGAGAGAGTGTGTTCTGACCTCACATGTGACTTTCCTGTTTCTGACAGCCATGGGAATAAAAGGGACTAAGTGGTTTCAAGTGAGAGCACAGCGTGGTGTAGCCAAAAAGTAGGTATGCAGGGGACTGACTGCTGTGTATGGGACACGGCTGTGTGCATGACAAATTCTTATATCTACATTCACGTATGCACTAACAGCAAAGCATTTAAAACACCAAAATGAATGGGATTAATCACGATTTTTTTTTCTGTAACCTAATGAGCTCTCCTTAGAGAACTGCCTGGAAGCCAGTAACCAGGGACTGTTGTCTGGTCTGCATCCGAAGGCGTGGAGAACAGAGGATCCTGAAGTGAAGAGTTCTGAGTTCTTCCATCAGCTACCTTAGTGCCACAACAGCAGAAATACATGCAGAAACTCTGGTCCCCACAAAAATCACTCTCAATTTTCTCCAGAACTTAAGCGACCATTTCAGCATTCACTTATTCACTCAACAAACCCCCAGGACGAGATGTTGCTGACAATTGTTAAGAAGGCAAATAATTTTAACCAAGAACAGCAGTGTGATGGTGACAAAGAAACACCACCAAGTGCCTGAGAAAAAGCTTAAACACTGCTGCTGCTTTGAAAAGTGCTCCTGTCATAAATTTATTTTTTAAGGTAAATTAGTAACTAGGATGTGATCTCTCCAATATAAGACAGCTTACTTTGTTGATAATACCTATTCTGTTATGAACTAGTATTTTTCTTTCTTCATTCAACAACATAAAAGAAGACTGCAAAAGGGCCTCTTCTGGGAAGTATCTTTGAGTAAAGGTAGATGCCTCACTCTGCTGTTAGAGCAATCATTACAGGCATCATGAAGAACAAATGTTTCTGCCTGGTGAATCAAGAGCGTGTCTAAGGGGAAAAGGAAAGACAACTTCTAATGCTGTAGAACTAGATACAATACTTTAAAACACATGGGATGCAGGACATTAATCTGTAGAAAACACAGCACGATGTACCTCCTTTAGTTGCCTCAAAAGAGAATCAGAAACTCTGACAAAAACCAACCAAACAAACAAACAAACAAATCCACCGTCCTTTTGGCAAAACCTATCACTCCAAAGTAAGGTTGGAAGTTTGGGCATGCGACCAGATAATTTAAGCCGTTGCCAGTTTGAAAGTTGTTTGACGTATTGTGGAATGCTTCGATTTTCTGTTTGTGTGCTGTCAATAGACCCTGACTGTGGTACCCACGAGGGACTCACTGAGAAGCAAGCCAGTGCAACTGAGCTATGATGAAAAGACGTAACTGACACCAGTACTCTTCTGCCCAGCTCGTCATCTGCAGTATTTCAAACGCAACATTCATTCACTCTGCTGAAGTGGGCACACACCAAAGTAAACTGACACTTTGCTGTTTCTTAATTAGGCCCCTCTTTCTGAAATGCACAGAAGTCCTAGTACTCCAAAGAAAGGGAAAGGAGGCTCCTTCCCCAGGAGCTGGAGTGACAGCTGGACACACTCCTAGCTGTGGAGTGATCAGAACAGAATCATTCTAGGAGCTCAACCGACTGGCCTTCACTCCCTGCGTCCTCTCTTCCTAAGAAACTCCACATCACTTCCCAAGGCAGCACCACCATCTGCAAAGCCTCTGTGACCCCTAGGAAAAGGCAGAGCTCCGGTGGACTGGATGCCCTCAGCGCCACTGACATTTTTTTCCACGTGTACCTTAGTCTACTTGTAATTTGACTTGACTTTGCACGTGTCATATCTTGCAACGCTTTTAAGTCCTTGGATGGTAGAGGCCATTTCTTACAGTTCATCTTGCTCATGTGGACCCTATGATATGATGTCCAGATGAGGGCAATATTATGTATTAAATTGATTTTACTTACTACCCTGCGTGCACACAGTGCACCACCTGCGTGCACACAGGGACTCGGCCTTTCTGAAGAACGAGGTGCGCTCCGTGGAGAGGGCGCTCCTACCTGTCGTGCGACAGCTTCAGCTGCTGGGTCTGCTGCTCATGCGCACTGATGAGCAGCTTCCTGAGCAGCTCGCACTGCTGGCTGAGGTGCAGATCCCGGATCTCCTGCTCCTCGGCGCTGTGGGTGTTGATCATTTCTGACCATTCCTTTGTGTGCTGTGCCACAATCTCTTTGACCTGTTTGGGAAAGAGGGGACAGTGCCAGGTGGAACCCTCAGAGGTCAGGCAAAACTGAAAGCGCCGTTCTGTTCACGTCTTTCCGATCCCTCCCACTGATTTCCTTGGTGAATCATGAGACACCTATAACCTGTAAGAAATAATGTACACTAACCAGTGGGAACTGGGAAGCCACTGCTTATTAAAATGAAGGAATCACTTCAGCTGTGACGCGCCCTTCACGGCCCTCACTCTGCCTTGCCCGGGCTTGACCTCCTCACCAGCTCTCAGGGCTCTCTTCATGGCCTCATGGTTTTCCCGCTTCACTTCCCTAAGTCCAGAGGTCCCAACAGAGAGCTGTGTGATCCGTATTTCTGGATCATGACTTTCTGTATCGACCCTAATAGATGCTACAGTAGAAAGTCCTGCCCCTCCTGGTATCCGCCCTCTTGGCAAAGTGGTTTTGCAGTTCCTCTTGTCAAGAGCTAGAGTCTATTTCTTCATCTCCTTGAATCTCACCAGCCATGACTTGGTTTAGCCAATAAGACGTTGCACGTATGATGTGTGCAGAGGCACGAAGGGCGCTTATGGCTTTGTTACGTCTGGAACCTTGAGGCTACGCTGTGACTGAGCCTGCGCTGGCCTGCTAGAGGTTGACAGGTCACCCACCCAGCAGCCAGCACCACCAGATGCACAAGTGAGCCTCCAGCCTGCCGCTGACTATAGGTAGACCCAGGAGTGAGTCCAGCTAAAATCAGCAGAAGAAACTTCCAGTAGAATACAGCCCACATTTCTGACTCAGTGAATAGAGAGCTGACAAATAAATGGTAGTGGTTCTTTTAAGGCACTAAATTTTGAACAGTTTATTATGCAGCAAAAGCAAACTGATAGGTCAAGGTTTCTTCCTGTTTATGCAAGAGATCTAAATAAAAATCACAGCTTGTTGCTCATGCATTAATTCCTGGAAATTCCAGTTAAGAAGAGAGAGAGTGGGAAACAGCCCCCAAAGACCCACGGCTTACTGGCTTCCTGCCCTTGAGGAGTCCAGGCTCTACAAAATATATAGCACCTAAAAGAACTTCATTTTTTTTTATTCAGTCATTTGTACATAGATCATAAATACATTTATGCCATTGTGGGATTCAACGTGTTGATTATTTGTACAAACTGGAATGCTTACATCCTGCTAAGCAACATGGCCTTCACCTCTTTTACCCAATTACAGGATTAAGACATTTGTGTTCTACACCTGATAGATCCAACTTGTACTTGCAATATGCTCCATAGTGTGGTCCCCCTACCAACCCTCCCTCTATCGACCCATCCCTTTTCCTTCCCCTCTCCCTCCCCTTCTTTCCTTCATCCTAGGCTAGAGTTGTGTTTTATTTTTCACATGCAGGGTATATGAAGAACTTCATTCTGAACAGCCTGGCTGACCTCTGCATGCCGTGATGGGGACATTGGGCTGGATAACAGAGCTGTCTGTACACAGATGGAGGCTTGCTGGTTTGCCCACAGCAATAGCTGGGAGCTTCCCTTAAGAGTGTATTTTTTTTTTTCTCTTCTTATAAAAACTCTTCTTGCTAGAAGAATAATGTGTATTCTTGACTGGGACTTAGCACATAGTTCTCCAAATGTCCACAACAATTTAGGTTTCTCTAGTTCCTATCTGTTCCTATTTGGGGGAGAATGTTCCTACTTGAGGTCCTCCTCTCAGAATATCAACTCTTGATTTTGTTTTCTAATCCCAAACTTTCCTGGCTAAGTTAGGATGGGGTATCACCTCCATTTGGGGTGGTTTTCTGTTGTATGTTTACTGTGACTTCTATAGAGCAGTGTATTCTGTTTTGTTTATAATGTTTCCTTTCAGTCTCTTCAAATATTATGTCACTTGGTGTCCTTGAGGCAGACAACATAAATATTGTTAGCATATTTCAACAAAAAAGACCCCCCCAAAAACCAAAAAACAGATGTTGCAACAAATGGCTTTAAGTTGCAAAGTCAGCGAGTCTGGGGCAAACACGAATCCTTGGAGTCCCTTCCTCCACAGCCCAGGCCCAGGCTACTGTTATTTCTGACTTATACTAGGTACCCCTTCTGCAAAATTACAAGTGTCTTTTGCAAGTCACTGCCATAAAAATGGACATTTTCTTACCTTAGATTTGTGGTCTGAGGTCAGTGTCTGAATTTTAATTTCTGTTTCTTTTTTCATTTCAAGGCAATTACTTCCCCTGAAAATAGAAAGTTGTAAATGCAAGCCAGAAATTAGATATCTTCTCATTCCCATGGGTCTTTGCTACAAAGCTTTCTGAGAAAGACAATCTATTCATCAAACATGAGATGCCACAGCTCATTGGGCAACATCAGTTTCTCCAGGAATAGATTCACACCTTTCAAAATATTATCTGTACCATGATTACTTGATTCAGCCACTGCAAAAAAGAAACACTTTAAACCTAACAATTATTTCATTGTGAAGGGTCTGTTGTCAGTTTCCATCTTGGCTCCTGTTTCCCTTCAAGCTATTTTTCACTCATTCAATAAAATGCTTGGGAGGAAAACTGGGAAAATAGGTCCTCAGCCTGGAAGTGAATGGCTGTTCTTCTGCTTTGGTTATAAAGCCAGATTTTTGTCTTTGAAATGTGCCAGGGAGGGTGAAAATAGCAATTCTTGGCATCATAAGGCGATTTGTGCTCCTTATTTTATTGTGCGTAGGAAATAGATACGAGGCAATTGCCCAGCAACCATTACTACTTATTACAAGGAGTATGTTTTCCTTCCAGAATATCCTTATTGTTGCTGAAACAGGAACAGGGATCCAGCTTCTGTCTGCAGCACGTCTGCTTTGATTTATTACAGCCCAACTCAAGTTGCTTCATTATATTATCAATGGAGAGTTCCTCTGAGAGAAACATCGCTCTAAAAATGCTAGGTCCTTATCAAATCTATTCTTCTCAGTGGCTGGCACTGAGTTTGCAGCACTGCTGAAGCCTTCCCTGGGCTTAATTCTAGACAAACGTCTTTCACAGTGAATGCAATGAGAGAGTTTATTTGTGGGCATAAGCAAAGGACTCCTGTGATATTAGAAAGGAAGACTGCACTTTTTTCCTCTCGTGGATCAACCTTATTGCTAATTGTGTTATCTTTTTCCTATCACTTTAAAGATACTCCAGTGAAAGCACAGGGCAGGCTCAGCACCTGTGGCTCAAGTGGCTAAGGCGCCAGTCACATACACCTAATGTGGCGGGTTTGAATCCAACCCAGGCCCACCAAACAACAATGATGGCTGCAACTGAAAAAAAATAGCCAGGCGTTGTGGTGTGTGCCTGTGATCCCAGCAACTTGGGAGGCGGAGGCAGGAGACTCGCTTGAGCCTAGGAGTTGGAGGTTACTGTGAGCAATGCCACGGCACTCTACCCAGGGGGACAGCTTGAGGTTCTGTCTCAAAAAAAAAAAAAAAAAAAGAAAGCAAGAAAGCACAGGGCAGACAGTTACTGTGTCATTACCCAATAGTTGGCTAACATTCCGATAAAGCTTCTCTTTCTTGGGTCAGTCATTCCTTTCAGCAGAGTGAGAGTCAGGAAGGGATTGTTTTAGAAATGGATCCTGCTTAAGAGATCTCCAACGACTATCCCTAGTTTTCCCATTCACTAACTTTTTGACAACTTGATGATAGTAAAAAGTTTAGGCAACCTTGACACCACAGTAAATATTAAGAATGAGAAACTTCCTTCACGTATGGCTGTCCAGGAGATAGTATTTGAAATTCGATTTTGAATTAACTCTTAATGTAAAGACTTCTACTGGTTTAGAGTTTTTGGGAAATGGTCCGTGTGGAGAGCCCAGAGGAAGTGGTGAGTTTGACGATACAGGCTCAGGAGAAGTCTGTAGCTCAGACTACAGTCTCACCTACACTTAGGATAAAACAGGGATTCATATGTTGAGAGACCTCCAAGACTGCCCAGTGGCAGAGTATGGGATAAGTGTCTTTACCCAGAACAACTTATAATAAATATCATTTATCTTTGAGAGCAAAAACAATGATGAATAAAGATTATATATATATATAATTTATTTTTTTATTTCTAAAGTCAGCCCTCATAATTCACTGATTTGGAAAATTATAGTGTCATTTTATTTTTATATTTATTTATTTATTTTTGAGACAAAGTCTCATTCTGTTGACCCAGGCTAGACTGCTATGGCATCATATCTCACAGCAATCTCAAACTCCTGGGCTCAAGCAATCCTCTTACCTCAGCCTCCTGAGTAGCTGGGACTACAGGTGTGTGCCACCACACCTAGCTGTTTTTTTCTATTTTTAGTGGAGATGGGATCTCGCTTTTGTTTAGGTTGGTCTCAAAATCTTGAACTTAAGCAATCCACCCATCTCAGTCTCCCAGAATTCTTAAGATTACAAGTGTGAGCCACCATACCCAGCCTATAATATCATTTTTAGCAAAGAAGCTTATTATATGGTACTTGACTCTCAAATCTCTTAATGGTAGATCTTTGGTTTGGTTAAACCCAAACTGTATTTTGGCTTAATAAATAATACTTTATTCTTAGAGAGTGCTATTAAGCTGTCAAAAATCTGCTCCTTGAAAACATGGTATTAGCGTCTATGACCATCTCCACTTTCAGTATTTTGGTCTAAAAGGTTGGTAAATATGACAAAATAATTTACAAAAGAGAAATAAGCCAAATCTTCTGATGTGGTCAGAAGTCTAGAAGACTCACAGCTCCTCAAAACTTACTGTGTTCACCACCAACATTGCCATGTGGGCCCTGAGATGGGTGGGCTTTGCCTGGCTCCCTCACTTAAAACACATCTTGAAATATTTTCAAGTCAACAAGCACATATTTTTGCTTCAGGGATACACAGAGGATACGATGCAAAAAACAACAAATATTAATAGGTGATCAATAGTTAGTGCTTGATTTGTGCTTTTCTGGAAAATATAACTTTAATAAAAATGAAGTCACTTCACAAATATTGCAGCCTGCGACCAAGGCTGGTGTGTGCACTTACCCACCATTTAATTCTCCAGCGAATGACTTTGGTTTCATGTCATAAAGCTAATATTGGAACCCAAAATTTCACCAAGAAGAACCAATGTCCAAGAAAATTGTAATAAAATCTGTTGTGTTTTCAGAGCTTGAGTTTTTAAGCTGTCTCTTGAGTGAATGTTGAAAAACAAAGAAAAAGAAAACCAAGTAGGAAAATATAATTCCTTTCTCTTTTTCTCTCATTCCAGAGGTTGAGGAAGACTGGACAATAGCGGCAGTGACTTGAGGACGGAGATAAGAGCCAAAAGGAAAGCACTGGAAAAGGACAGAGCTGGGCTAAAAACAACATCTCAGAGAAATGAATGTGTGTGTGGTGTCCCAGTATTTTCCTTGAGTTATTTCTTAATTATAAAGGGAAAAGCAGTAGCTTTGCAGTGCAGAAACCTTTCAGGTATCACCTTAGCCAAGTGATCCTGGGTAACAGCACCAACAATGAGCTCATCTCAGGATCCAGTACCTCGTGACAGCCTGCACCGAGGAGGGACCAGCATCACCACGAATGCTTCACTTCACTCGCATCGTGAGAAAATAGCACACCAACCCCCAAAGTGGAACAGTCTACGAAACAGCTCACCAGTACTCTTCAAAAGGGAAAAAGTCACAAAAGGAAGGGAGAGACTGAGAAATAACACAGACGATGGTGACAACTGTACGCAAAGGTGCAGTTCCAGCAGGAAATCCCAACCCAGAAAAACAGCCCTGGTGGAAGAACTGGTGAAATTTCAAAAAAAAAAAAAAAAAAACCCTGCAGTTTAATTCGTGGTACAGTCCCAATGTCAATATCCTGGTTTGATCAGTGTACTGTGGTTATGTGAGATGTTAATATTTAGGGAAGCCGAGTTAAGGGTATGATGGAATCCTCTGTATTATTATTAAAACTTTTCTGTAAGTCTGGAAATTATCTCAAAATAGAAAGTTACAATCAGTTCTTGGGTAAAACAGTATTTTTTTTGGAAGCTAAGATTTCCTTTTCATATTAGAACTAATTAGACCTCTTCAGAGAACCTTCCTAAATCATCGCTAAGTCTACCCGTTCACCTCCTATGATGTTACAGTGTTTAAAAGGCCCGAGTCTCTAATTTTCCAGGAATAATTTTCAATGCTGAGAACTGACTCAAGGACAAGTTCTTTCATGGCCTAAAGGCAGCTTGACTGTGGGAAAAGACAAAATATCAAAGAGGAGAGGGGTCTGGACGGAAAGGAAGAGTTACCCTTTCTTCTTCATTGCCTTTTCTAGGATTTTCTCGTGCGTCGACTTCTCTTTGTCGTATTGTGCCACGATCTTGTCAACCTGCGTGCAGTGTAACTTCTGCATGGTACTGTGCTCCTGGACGAGAAGGATTTGCAGTTACGAGCTGGGCTTTCAGCACAGCTGGTACAGTTTACACCATGTTGAACTGGCATAATTTTCTCCCGTTTTCCCAGAATTTTCATTTGGAAAGCCAGGGAGTAATCCAGTCTGAGAGCTACACAGACTTCCCACCTCGCCTCCAACACAAGTTTCTTGTTCAAGGGCATTTCCAACAAAGGAGTTGCCAGCCTCAGTCAAATGAACGCTCCCACCCCAAAGGCTTGCCACTCGGCCGTGCCGATCACCTCAAGGACCTTTCTTCTACGCGTCGCCATAGATTTTCCACTCATTTACCTTTAATCTGCTGTCGGAAACACTAATTAGTCTACTGTCCTTTTCATACATTGGTCTTAAACACCCAAGTTCAGCCCCCATATTGCTTTCCTTTTATATGCTAAATATAACTATTCTTCATGTCGCCTGGTTTCTGGACATTTGGCACATTTTGGAATGTTTTGGATACCATTGTTCCATAATGAGAATGACCACAGTGACTGTCACCACCGGCTGAATAGAAGCCTCCATCACCTGATACTTTCACTGACCTCTTTATCTAGATGCACTCACTAGGATGACAGAAGGCTCAAGTTTAACAGATACTTGAAATATTTTCCCAGCCACCTCATTTAATCACTAAAATCAGGGCTGTGGCAGTTTGATAATAAGCATTTCAGCATAAACATGATTTCCTCCTGAATGACGAGAGAGGCCTTTGGCTCTAGCCAGTGACTTATATGAAATCAGACTTCTTCAGCTGCTCAGCCTCCCAGAGGCCGAGGAAATCAGCAACATGGGGAACACGCCACTCTGAGTGGACACCTGATGCTAAGGCCAGTCTTACTCATGAGAAGCTTGGGGAAATAGGATGGCATTTGCAAGAGGAATTTGGTACGTGTTACTCAAGTTGCAGAACCATGCTCAAAGTCACATTTCCTTCACTTACTGAAAAAAAAAAAAAGACAATTTAAAAATGAACTTATTTTCTCCCTAAAGTAAGCTTCACTTCAAGTAAGTCTAATTTATAAACGTCTTTAGAAGATTTCATAAAATATAAACCAGGAATACTAGAAGAAAGTGTAGGGAAAACACTTAAAGAAATCGGCTTGGGTGAAAATTTTATGAGGAGGACCCCTTGGGCAATGAAAGCAATGTCAAAAATACACTTTTGGGACCTGATCACACTAAAAAGTTTCTGCACAGCCAAGAACACAGTAAATAAAGCGGGTGGACAGCCCTCAGAATGGGAGAAGATATTTGCAGGTTATGTCTCTGACAAAGATTTAATAACCAGAATCCACAGAGAACTCAAATGTATTAGCAAGAAAAAAATAAGCGATCCCATCTCAGGGTGGGCAAGGGACTTGAAGAGAAATTTCTCTAAAGAAGATAGGCGGATGGCCCACAGATATATGAAAAAAAAATGCTCTCCATCCTTAATCATCAGAGAAATGCAAATCAAAACTACTTTGAGATACCACCTAACCCCAGTAAGATTAGCCCATATCACAAAATCCCCAAACCAGAGATGTTGGCATGGATGTGGAGAAAAGGGAACACTTCTACACTGTTGGTGGGAATG